GATTCTCAGTGCAAGTTGAACAACTGTAGCCTTCCCATTGCAATTCAAGAGTATGGTTTGACCCCATACCGCTGTTTTGTACGCATCAGTGGCTAACCTCGGAATGAAGAACGAACTTCCATTTTATTTTTGACTCTGTAAATGCGTCTAGCATTACTCAAGGTGAGTTATCGTAAGTGATGTGTAGAAATTTTGAGGCTGTCCTCAGTCCTGTTGCAGTCAATAGCAAAATTGTATAGATCTTAGGTAACTTTTATATTTATTGCGTTTGTTATTTGACCCTCTCCATATGGTTCTTTTGAGCAGTTTTTTACCAGTTGCTATTTTTTGGAGGTTTGAATGTTTCACCAGAGGATGTTTGAATTTCTATAGCCTACAAAAACATTGCATGTGCAATGCTCTGAAGGCTGGAAATGTCAAGATCTGGTCTTTACCCTGCTTCATTCCCGGTTGTCTGTCATCGTGGCGTCTCCATGCAATAATACATTAACATGTTTTAAGTTTCTCTTTACATGATAATATATTATTGGCCAAAAAAGTGAGCGTGGCACCAATATATTGACAAAAATACCAATATGTTAAGCTCATATAGGAATCACACTCCTATAATGAGTCGAAAATTTGAGTGACATATCAATATATTGAACTCATGAATTCGATATACTAAACTTATGAGTGTGATCAATATATTGAATTCACGGTAATGTATTAGTAGTGTTATAAAAACACACTCAAATTGCCTAATTTCTATACATAAGTATGACACTTACTGAAACTAATGTGGAATGCCTTATTCGATAATATGACCACAATGAATGATTTGCACAATGTTATGAATTTGATCTTTGTTCGAAGTTCGATTTTCTCCCCTGTTAATCGGAAATCAAATTGATAGATATTGCTTTTTGTGACAAAAAAGAAGTTTAGATTTGTGGTTGAAGTTACATATCTTACTCAACAATATTTAATAAGGAAAGTAATGAAAAAGATTTGAAAATTATAAGTTTTAACGAAAATGATAAAATAAAGGGTAAAGTGAATAGTACCATGATTGACTTTTTAGTGTAAAAATGTGGTTTTTCGTTAAAGTGAATAGTATCGGAAGTTTTTCGTTAAATTGTGTTTGTTCATCGTACATCGTGTTGTTAAAAATGTGGTTTTTCGTTAAAATGAATAGTATCGGAAGTTTTTCGTTAAATTGTGTTTGTTCATCGTACATCGTGTTGTTAGTTTTTGTCAGGTACTGGTTGTATTTAATTTTAGATAAAAATATTTAAAATAATTTATGATCACACGATGTACGATGAACGAATATGATTCACGAATTCCTGAAATCGTTACAAACAAGATCCGAAGAGGATCCAGGTTCTTTCTATATGAGCAGAGCACTAAAGAAGGATATGCATCACGAAACCTTTAATTAATTTTATTTAATTGCATTGATTTTGAACCCAAGAATCAAGTGAAGAAAAGATACCAACGCCATGTGCCAAAAAATCTGGCCAATTGCGGAGAGGCTTCCTTCCACTTTGAGCCCCCACATGAAGTCAGCCAACTGTGGGCAAAAGACCTTCAGGAAAGAGACACGCCAATAGATAAATACACCATAAATTATGCATAGCAACCACGCTGTGCAATGATATGATATTGTAATCATTTAGTATTACGGTTTAATAGTATTTTTTTATTTGTAAATAAGAGATCATGTTCAATTCTTTTTGTAAAGACGAATTTGAATTAAATTATTATGACTAACTCATTGTGAGGCTTAACCTACACTCCACAATGTAAATAATATTGTATGCATTAAAAAAGTATGGTCATGTAGATGGTTTCGGCTACAATAGTACGTATCACCAACAATTAAAAGAGCCATGAGACTACGACACCATAAATAATGTATAGCAACCACTCTACAAAAGTATGGTGTTGTAGTTATTAGTATTACGATTTAGTAATATTTTTTTTATAGTTGCAACTGAGAGGTTAGGTTCAATTCCTTTTAAAGGTGAATTCGAACTAAATTATTATAGCTAACTCATTGTGAGACTTAGCTGATACCTTACACTCCTTAGCATAGATAATGTCGTATGTATTAAAAAAAAATAGGTCTTTTAGATGGGTACGGCTACAATGATACGTACCACTTGGTGTTACGGGTTTTATGTAAAAGATTTAACCGTTGCAAAGATTGATTGAATTTCTATATGCAAGATTTAGCCAGTGAATTCCAGATTACTTAGTGGGATGTATCATGGAAGAAAAATTGCTTGTTTGGCCATTTGTACTTAATTAATTTTTTTTTATTTTTTACAACAATATTGAGAGTGAGGGTCTAAGCCAAAAATATGATCAATAATTTTATGGTAAACTCACATTGTATGAAAGTCGAATTTAAACCTCTCACTCAATGACGAAAAATATCACTAATATTATACCACTTAAGAATACTCAAACGTGAGCGTAGTTACATTAGTTGAGGAATGTGCTCCACCCAATTTAGAATTTCTTTACTCCATTAAAGTAGATATCATCATTTGAGGAAGAAAAAGAATAAAATTACTAAACTAGATAAAGAAAACATTCGGAGAATTATATTAAACCTAAAAAAATTGTAATCCAAGTGATTTAAAATTTAAAAGCATTCACCTACACTAAAAGTCCTGTTTCGATTTCCGCTCTCCTTGATATAACATCAAACTGCAACCCCACTTTCAAATCAAGCTTGGATAACCCAAATTAGCCTTTTTGAAAGCACATTTAAACAAGAATAGTGTTATTCACACATCTGACTTTACCTCATACACACCTTGTTAATTGATAGGAGCATATTCATGCGACTTAATTAGCTTGTTCTCGTGCATTTATGTTGTGTTTATTTAGTTGTTTTAGTGTTTAAGGCCACTTTTGTGTATTTTCAGATTATAAGGCCAAAGTGTGCAAGAAGATGCAAATTGGAGTCTTTTGGAGCGAAAGAGGAACGAATGAGTTGAAGACTTGAAGAAACGACGAATTCCTACGCCAACGATGAATTCTTACCAAAACGAAGAATCCTACTCAAACAAGGCTTCCTATTTTAGGAAAGTTGACCCTAAGTTTCCCGTTTTGGTAACCTTTCCTAATTCTAAACGTCCATATTTTCTAGCCACTTTATAGGCCTCGTATGCACTTTAGGACACAAAACCAAGGCCCTAGCCCTATTTCCCTTCCTAGCCGCACCTTTATATTTATGTTTTAATTTCCTATTTTCGTAAGCCTTTGAATTTATTTTCGTTAATAAAAATAAGCTAGGAACCAAACATATTTAAAACCCTAGGTTTTACATACTTAGCCGCACCTTTCCCATTATTCCACCCTAATTTCATTCTAATCCGTAGCACCCATTTATCCCATAATTCATCCATCTTCACGCAGCCACATTTTTACAACCTAATTCCACCCTTATTCCCCCCAAAACCGAGCCACTTTTTCCCATATTCTATCCCATTTTTATTTTCTTAAAAACCGTACCCTAATTCACTCTAAACCTAATATTCTATCACAGCCGCACCATATCCCATTTTGATTACCATCCGCAAATTCCATACCCTAATATTCAATCCGTGCATTCCATATTCTAACCTAACAGCCGCCACACTCTCCCATTTTTCATCTCTGCCCGTGGCCTTTCTCCACACTTTCCACCACCATACAAACCTTCACACACCACCCCATAGCCTTGCCGCATCCCTAAACCACCTTAAATCTATCCCTAACCCAGAAAACCATCCAAAAACCACCCATAACCAAACTGTCGCAGCAAGGAGAAGAGGAAAGAGGACTTAGACGCGCAGAAATTCAAGTGGATTCGTTGGGCGTTCTAGGTGTAATCCATCCTTTGTTCTTTATGTTTAAATTCAATTTTATTTTTCTTGTTGTGACCATGAGAGGCTAAATCCCCCTAGTTAGCTAGGGGGTGATTCGAAACCATGTTTATGCTTGCAAGATGAATTGATTACATTTGGTTGGAATTTCATAAGTTGTGATTCAATTTGTTTAACTGTTTGATTGATAACTTATTTATGTATGTTTATTGAGAGTGCACGCTTAATTTTCATGCATGAATATGACGCTAGAATATAAGTGAATTTCACCTAATAGTTATGAACTTATATTCACAAGTAGTGGAGGTTGCTTATAAACAATCGCGTTAAATGAATTCTTGGCACTAGTTTCATGCTCATCATAGTAACGAATGCCTCGTCAACACTTATAGTTTTCATGATGCTTAATGATCTTTGATTGTATCTTTATTGTGCTTTTCACGTAAAGGACTTTTGGAGAATGTTTTGAATTGCGTTGCGCTAACCCATCCAATTCATTAACTTAAGGAGAACTTGACGGTTAATTTAAGCGGACCTAATTAACCCGGGGTGTTGAGTTTCATAATTTATCGAAAGACCAACTGAAAATCATTTTGTATGCAAGTGTAACATGTGTGGAGAAGAACCTTCTAGCTAGCATTCATCCATATTTTCATCACATTCATATTTACATTCTGCCTTTAAATTACAATCGTTGCATTTAGTTTAATTTCGTCAACACCTCAATCCCCCTTTACTTTAGTGTCCAATTTAGTTAGAAAGTGTCTTAGTTTGTGTTTATAAGCGTTTTGTATTCTTTGAGTCTTTTGATTTGTTTTAGTATTTTATTGTTTAGTTTTACATTCTTTGAGTCTAGTTTAGTGTTTTTAACGTTTGTTTTACGTTTTTGAGTCAGTTTCCAAGTGATTTAGTAATCCCTCCTAATCCCCGGTCTAGAACGATCCCTACTTGCATCTTTACTACAATTGTCACAAGAGGGTTTTAATTTGTGTGCTTATTTAGTAGCCATCATTAATTTTTTGCCACTAATATTCTTCAATTCATTAGACCCGACAACCGAAAATTAAAAGAAGTGTGTAAAAAATAAGAATGAGTGTTCGGATGGCACTAGCATTAAGCAAACAATCCACACCCAAAAAAGAAAAAGAATTTAGGCATAACAATTATATCTTATAAGATCACAACAATGAAATGAGATTCCAATCAGAATTAGCAGCAGTCACATCCCCTCTCAAGCCTAAGAAACCAAACAACTGCAACACATTGTACAAGCTAAACAGTTGAGACAAAAGACACAGCAGCTAAACTAACAACACAAAACGTCGGATTCGATCGCCATCGAAATAAACGCGGGGCCTGTTCCGATTGCTTCTCCGATCGCGAAGTTATTAACATTCGATTCTGCCAATGAGGGGGAGCTAGACGCATTAAACTTACCAATACTGCACTAATAGAACCCTACTGCCCAACACTAACTCCAGCACTCAATGTATCCTTCGCCTTTGGAGGCCTACCCCTTGGCCTCACCGGCATTGTCTCTTCCACTGCCGTCGAGCCACTCAAACCTCCGGTAGGCTTTGCCATCTTCCTTGGCCGCCCTCTCGGCTTCCCACTCCCTGAAGACACCTTAACCTTGGGAGGCTTTGGGGGTGCTTCCGGGTCCTTGGGCGGGCGGCCCCTACCCTTTGGTGAGGTCAAGGTGGTGTCCGGGGACAATGGATCCTTGGGCTTTGGCGGCCTGCCACGCCCCCTCCTCGGAGGTGCATTGGGATCTGGCTTTGTGTAGTTGTTTTTCCAGAACACCAGCTCCCCATTATCTTTCATCTTGCTGAGGTGGTGAGAGAGGAGGGTATTGTGCCCGGCCGGCACTTCCCCATAGGTTGATTCAATATATTTCGAGATGGAGGATTTGTTCGAACCATTCTTGTCATTCAAGGCTTCAATTGCCTGCAGAATCATCTGAAAATACCACAATTCAGACTTTTACCAAAAAGAACAAAAAAATCCAAACTTTCTACTCAGAAATTTCTCGTCGGCAAACAAATGTTCAAGTTATATAAATATAAACGCACATACATATTTTGCAAATTTGGGTTCTGCAAAATTTCAAATCTGTTTTTTTTTTTTTTTTTTTTTTTTTTTTTACTGATTTGGGTTCTGGTATTTCAAATTACCCAAATCAGTAAAAAAGATCTAAAACTTTGGAGAATCCTAAAACTCGAGTCCTAATACTTTTTTCCTCGAAAATACACAAGGAACAACAACGAAGCAAGCTTATCCCACCAGGTGAGTTCGACCGTATGAATTCTAAACGCTCGATTTTGCCAGTCTTCCATTAGCACCAAATCTTCCTTTCTCGAAAATATACCCAAACTATTTTTTTTTTTTTCATATATCCAGCTATAACAGGTAGAGATATTCAGACCAGTGAAAGCTCATTTCTTATGATTACTATGAAACCTAAATGGAACCAAGCGCTCTAATTATTTTTAATATTTTTTATTTTTGCCATTATTCAGGAACCCCTCTTAATTTACCCTTTCCACAACATGTAAAATATCCAAAAATGAACAAGAATAGTAATATCCAAGACCATGAAAAGTAAAAAAAATATATATATTTTTTTATTAAAAAAAAAACATCACTATTTGTGAAAACTGTGAGAAATGATGGTTTGAAGTACAGAAAAAAAATAAAACAAAAATTTAAAGAGAATTCTTTTAGTAAGAGATTTGGAAGGAGAGAGAAGAAGGAAGTACCTGAGGGTAAGGAGGGAGTGATGGAGGTTTGTTAACCTCTTCAGTGGCCATTAAAACTTTGCAGAGAAAATATAAGGAAGCTGTTTGAAATTTCAAGGCCTCTCAGTGAACCCCACAAAACACTCAGCTGCTGCTACAGCAGCAAGGAGAAAACCCTCAATTTTCTGATGGTAAAAAAGCTGTTGGATTTGAGCTTGCAAGGATTTGAGAGCAAGATTTAAAGCCAAAAGGATAAAGTAAATAATATAATATAATTAGTTTGCTTTTGGTTCTTTGATCGACGGCTGGGAGTTGAGTTGAGTGGACGATGGAACGGTTGAGGGACGGTGAGATGGGGATCGCTGAGTTGGCAGGTTATGGAACTTCTGATTGGAAGGTTCTGCAGACAATTGGTGATGGGAGGGGAGAGTCTAAGATCCAGATCCTCTCCGAATCTAAGGATCCTGAGCCTAGGGATCAATTGATCCAGCTCTTTAAAACTTGATTCAAAGGCTACAGACAGGATGTTCCACTAAAAGTTATAATAATTTTAGCCGTTGGATCAAATTTCAATAGGTCGGATCAATTGATTCCTAAGCTCAGGATCCTTAGATCTGGAGAGGATTTGGATCCGAGAGTCTAGTCCCAATGCTCAAAATAGTGATTTTAATGTAGATTTTTCTCCACTTACACACTCTTATTTATTTATAGCATTTGAAGTGAATAAAATTAAATAAATAATCAACGAACATAAATATAGGTGTATGCGAATCGTAATTAGCGGTATGATAAAATTTATTATCTTGCTAAAATCGAAACTAGATGCCAAAACTGTGCAACGGCCATATTATTATGAAACGCACCATACAAACGGTAAAAAGAATGCCTGAAAACATGAACACCTCATTGAACATGTGAACTCCTTTGCCAGGGTGGAGTTCCCTGTTGCGAATGGTAGTCCAACTACAATTGGAGAATATGTTTGAGTGTAGGTATTAGATAACTGAAATAAGAGAATTAGTGTTATCAGCTGATGAATTTTGAGTAATTTTCAAGCTGAATTCCACACTCCAATTAAGTGTATTTATATAGAGTTTCATGGACTCTCATATAGAGTTATGAATGCATAACATTTTTAATAACCATTTTAGTTGACATGTACACCGGCTTGATTAAGTTTTTCCAACATTTTGTGCATAATGTTAGAGACTAGGATCTCACATTGGTCATATGACAAATAATATACAACTAATATATGAGAGTTTCCACCTCTAATATCACCGAGGCCTTTTGGTGGTGGACCATACTTGGGCCTACAAAATTAATCATAGTATCATAGTAGGCTATTCTCTAGACACGTCATGGGTCTGAGTTGCCGGGCTCAAACATGCTTTCTAAAGTTGGGCTTTTAAAAGCTGCACTAAGTCCAACTCAAGGCAATTGATGTTGGCTCTAAAAACTGAATACCGACCGAGCTCTCAAAAAGATTAACGTTTGTTTCGGTCTAATGACTCGACCAATTCTCATGGTGGGAATTGGTTTCCCATGTAACTCTGTGTGGGGTCACTTATGAAGGGATGTGTTAAAGTATATGATCTCATATCAGGTAATATGATAAAATAATATACAATCATCCCCCTCTATTCATTATATATATATATATATATATATATATATATATATAGACACACACACAATCAATTATGAGAGTTTCCACATGTAATAGCCTTTTAAAAATTCTCATTGCTTTTGTTATTTATATGATTTGACGAAATGTATAGTTTGGCTTTGTAAAGCTTCATGAAAAAGAGAAAGGAAAAAGGGATGATGCGAACCTTTTTTATTGTGATCATAAATGAGTAGACATTCATTGAACTACTTTCCATATTACAAATTGGTTTTATAGTTGAACCTTAACTTTCTTTATTGTGTCAGAGCATGTTGTCATGCGTGAAGCAAAACGGCCACATGTGCTCTACGCACTTGATTTGTGTCCTCCACGTGTTAAGGCTTGTTGAGGTATGAATCCCACATCAGGAGAAAAATGGACATTGCAAGTCCTTGTAAGTAATTGGGTTACTCCTAATATTGCCAATTGGTTTTATGGTGGAATTTAAATTTTCTTCACATAATCCACTTGGGTGTTCAATATTTTTCATGAAAATTCTAGTTAAAATAATTGCCTTTTTATCGCAACTTATACATGTGAGATCTTATGTTTGACTCTCGTGAATGACAAATTTGATATGAAATTAGGGTATTGTTATTCACACACCCATTTTTAGCTTTCGCCCACCCCTCTTAATTTTCGGAAGTCGGATCGAATAAATTAAAGAATATCAATGGAAAAAATTAAAGAATATCAATGGAAAAAATTAAGATAAATTTCATGAAAAGAGTTTGGGCTAAGTTTATTTTAATAAAAAACTATGCTATAACTTTATTTAATTAAAAAGACTTAATTTTAATAAAAACCCTTAAATTTTAATAAAAAGGACGAAAAAACTTAAATTTTAATGAAAAAGACATAATTTTAATATTAAAAAAAATTAAAAAAAAAAACTGATTCGCAAATCCACGTGTCCTCACATAAACTGTTTATGAAACTTTCTATACTGTTTATGAAACTAACGGTACTACACTTTATGAAAAATACTACATTGTTTATGAAACTTTCAACACTGTTTATGAAACTTACTACAATATTTATGAAACTTAATGGTACTATACTGTTTATGAAATTTAATGGTACTACACTATTTAGGAAAACTTAACAGTACTACACTGTTTATGAAACTTAGCTGTACTACACTGTTTATGAAACTAATTGTACTACACTCTTCTATCTCCTCTTCTTGAATTTTCTTGGCACATTCTCACCTTCCAAACACATTTTCTTCGATACTCATCAAATTTTCTCTGTATCTCTTCAATTTCTTAACTTTCTACACCAATTACTTAATTTTCTTCTATTGTCCGCTCATTTGCGGCTTCCTTTTCTCCTCCACCAAATGCAAATGTTGTGCCCTAAAACACAACACTTTTAATAATAAAAAAGTTGGGCACAATGGGGTGAGGTACAAGGAGTGCCTCAAGAACCATGCAACAGCCATAGAAGGGACTATTACGGATGGCTGTGGCAAATTCATGCCTAATGGAGAAGAGGGCATCATCGAAGCCCTTAAGAGCCTCAACTGCTCTGCCTACAACTGTCACAACTACTTCCATTGAAAAGAAGTTGAAGGTGAGCAGTAGCAGCAACTTTCCTCTTGGGATCATAATTTCCATCATACCATCAACAGGGCAGTTGGAGTTGGGAGCAGGAAATTCTTATTAAATCATGGAGGAGGATGAGGACATCACAAGAGTTTACTAGAAATACCCCAATACCCCCACCAACACCAGATGATAATGTCTAACTACAACATGGGGATGCGAATGGTGGAGATAATGTCTAACTACAACATGGGGATGCGAATGATAGGGTCCATCCCTTCAAATCAGTCTAATGAGCAAGAAGATCATCATCATCGTCGTCACGGTGGCTGATCACGTATTGACACAAGTGTATGGAAATCACAGGCTTTGTTGATCTTTAACTTCATTTGCTTGAATCAATTGGACTTTGAGGTCCGTTTGGATGTTTGGAAATTGAAGATTGAAATAGAGTTGAATTCTAAGAGATTTGAAGAGAGATGGATCTTTGATTGGAAAAAGACTACCGACTGACGGTTTGAAAAAAAATCCTTCCTCATATTGTTTTTCTCTGTAAGTGGTGGATTACGTATTGACAGAGGTGCAGGGCTTGCACGCACTTTTGTTAGATATATATTTTTTTTCTTTCTCTTGTCCTTATCATTAAATAAAGTTAGTGTGTGGTTTTTGGTTAAAACTCAAAGTTTTAAAGCTCTTTTCATTAGTTTTCCTAAAAATTAACAAAGGTGTGTGGAAGGTAAAAAAAAGTGTGAATATCACTACCCATGAAATTAATGCTAACTCATTGTGTGGCCCAATCTCCCGTTCTCAATATCATCGTATAAAAGAAACAAATAAGTTTGGGGTGGTAATAGACGAAGTCAAAAACAAACTAAAGCTTAAAGCTTGTTTGGTATCTTCTTGGGTCGATTTTTCGGTTTTGTTTTTGTAAACAATGAGTATTAAATCATTTAACTACATTCAGCATTTTGGAAAACTATATATTGGTTTCAAGTTAAATACCAAACACCCCTAAGTAATCAAAGATTTTCTCGTAATAATGGTGGTTAATCAAATATCCTCATCTTGATATTGGTTTTTAAATTTTTGCAGTCTTCATGTTTTTTTAGTAGCACGATAGCATTGCAGTCTTCGTGTGTTTTTCTTTTTAGTGTGAGGGAGCATATGGTACTCTCTTTTCCTTTCTCGGGGTTTTTAACGAGGCTACATTAACGCAACTTCCATCAATAATATATTCATTGTTTTTCTAGTTAATGAAATTTCTCACTTACAAATAAATATCAAAAGATATTTTCATTTTGGGGTAAATGAAAAAGAAGATTTCTTTGTAATGAAATTAATTACACCTCTTTAATAAAACTAAAATACAAAAAAAAAAAAAAAAAAAAAACTAGTTACAATCCAAAAGAAGAAAAAATAATAAACAGACTATTAATAATTAGAAGCAATTTGTTTTAACAAACTCAAAATATAATGCTCCTCTTCATATATCTGCATTCTGCAGTAATGCGGAGTCACTGCAAAATTTAGGGCATATTTGTGCCATGCCCAGCCCAAGTGGAACAAACACAAGAAGGAATCCCTCCCCTCCTTTAAGAGATCTTCCCTTGAACGATACAACAACAACAACAACAACAAAGCCTTATCCCACTAAGTGGAATCATCCCCTTCATCGATAAATTCCGTAATTTCTGTCCACAACAAGTATTTAAACAAAATGTGGAATATTAGTTCTTCATCACACATATGTATCTGCTTCTGTAGTCTTCCTGATCACCGATACAGCAATCTGCAATCATCAAACTGATTTTTTTTAGCATCTTAACTTTTGTAATGTGACAGAATGCATGCATGTGCATGTTCATCCTAAACCCTAAATCGGATTAAAGTGAATTTCACAACTGATTTATGTTAGTTACTTGTACATTGGTGTTACTGTAACTGCTAAAATAACACCAGTTTGGTATGCTCACTACATGAAAAAGCACTAGTCAGAAAAAGATCTTGAGTTATGATATCGTGCCTACAAGATTATCCGTGTCCAAGTAGTCAACGGCGACAATTAACTATGCGTGTTATTTGATTTGCACGAACAATCCTTTTACTCGCATCATCTTGTTCCACAGATATCAGTGGCCACCGATGCTTTTTAGTTGTGTATTAGTGGTTTGTGTGCCTACAGCATTGTAAAGGTTGTTCCGAAGTCAGAGAACTGAGTTGTAAACTTGTTTGAATATTACCTCTTAATTAGATTCTCCTTGTATCAATCAACTGCAACTTCATCGCCCTCGGGATCATTCATGTTCTTGACGCGGAGTTCAACAGCCCTCAGATCCCTTAGATGCTGCAAAATCTCTTGGAGAAGATCCACCCCTTTGTCTCCCTTCTTTATGGAGCTCATGCAGTGCTTTAGAAACTCCCTGTCTGCTTCAAGAGCTTGTAGCCTCTCATAAACATGATCCACCTCTTCTTCAATGGCTATTTTGCCATCATTCAACTCAAAATTGGCAATTGAGTTCCGCATTGTTTCAATAGATTCAGATTGTTCAACGTGTTCTTCATGAGTTAACCCTTCTTCGGTTTCATTGTCAGTTGCATCCAAAAGCGGAAGAAGTCTTTTTACCATGGAACTCAATGTCTTTCCCTCGGGATCATGTTTATCCTCCGAAAATCCCTTCGATGTCCCATTTTCTTCTGGACTGCTAAAATCATGATTCTCTTCGAAGTCTTTGAGGCTATACGCGGGGGAATGCTCAACCAATTTAAAGTCATCGCCCAATTCCTCATTTGCACCCAACGTGATTAGCTTCTCCTCCAAGGCTTTGAGCTGATCCAGAATGGACAGCCTCTCTTCCTCAAACCCTGCTAGCGATTCATCAAGAACACTCATATTTTTAACACAATCCAGAGCTAAGTCTTCCAAACTCAGACCTGCATCATCTGTAGTATTGTTGTTGTTATTGCTTTCTTGAAGGCCACCAAAGCCACTTTCTTCGTCCCTGGTTTCAACATTAAGGTCAATCGATAGCGCATCACTATCCCACGATTGGCTGCAAGAAGCAGAGGAATTCCTGCTTTTTACACTTCCATATTTAATTCTGCTCATGATCCTTATCTTCTCTTTTTCCTCATAATCTAGGACTTTCTTTTGATATATTTCCAGTTCTCTCTCGAGTTCTTGCTTTTCCTTCTCCTTCTTGTTCATCAAATCATTCAAAAGTTGTAAGGCATCCTGATCGTACTCGGATTGTTCTTCCATCATCCTCTGGTATTGCAATGCCTCCATTTGCATTGCTGCCTTCTCTTCTTGAAGCCTTGTTATCATAGCCATAGTCTGGTTGGCGGCAATTGCAGACGCACTCCTCTCTTGCTCTAGTTCTGCGTACAAGGAACTTATAGCTTTACGTTCAGCTGTCAGAGCTTCTTTGAGCCGTCCAATGGTTGTAAAAGGATCTCCATCTTCCATCTCACTGACACCACTTCCATCCAAATACTCTTCTACCGCCGGCTCTTTTTTTCCACCCGGTTTCTTGTGCAAGGAACAAAGACTGTTTACTGATGTTGGTGAGTTAGGAATCTTCTCTTCCTCTGATTCTTGATCATTTTCGAGCTTACTTGTTTCCTCTTTCGGTGTACCTTCTTCAGTGTGCCTTAAACCTGTCAAAATTAAATTTACCGTAAACGCCAGCTCTTCCTTTTTTTAACAATTACACTACTTGTACTACTAGATGCCTTTCATCAAATCAGTTTCTGTATATAGGTGGAGATAAGATATGATTTTGAGATTTACCGTAATCACTCTGATCCGAGAATGTATCAGGTACATTGGGATTTTCAAAGCACGTCGAAGAAGAACCTTCTTGAGCCCGAGGGTGATCAGTTTCACGGTCACCCACTTCTGTGCTTGCCAAATTTCTTGGTATAATGTAATCAACAGAAATACTTTCTTCTTCAGATGCTGCATGGAATTAAGATCAGAATGCAAAATAAACTTATAGCGAATAAATTTAGTGAATAACTACAATTCTTCTGTACCTGGTGGATCATTTCGTTCTTTGTTATCGGGTTCTTCAATTCGAACAAATAATGTTTGAGCTCCTGGATCAGTGACAACTTCATCACATGGCTTGCCAAGCAGATCTTGTTTTCCCTCTTCCGCGTCTACCTCAAAAGAGTTATCAGTAAAACCCCTGTTCATATCTAAGCTTTCAACTTCTCCGTTACTTGTGTTAACTGCACTCTCGTTTACCATGAGTACTAATGATGCTTCTCCAGAGAGTTGAGGTTGAGATCCGATGTTTGAGTTGGAAGCGAAATTCACTTCATGATGATCACGCTCTCTCACCTCTTCCTCTTTTACATTGCGGATTCCTTGGTCTACTGTAGTTGAAAAATCAATCAACTCCACGGGAATCAACCGATGATTGTGAGCACAGATCAAACCATCCTTGGAAGATAGGGGGACGATTTCGAGAGAGTAATCTTCTTCAAAGCAACACTGAATGCTAGTAGCACTAGCTTCGGAGGATTGATGGACAAGTTTCGAGCTGTTGGAATCTGACCGCACAATTTCAAGAGAACCTCCTTTGTTGTCTTCATCTGCATCATTTTTCTGACGTAGCAATACTGATCTAGACGTCAGACAATCTTCCACTGCACTGCCTCTGAAGCTAGAACTGCAAACATCCGATGTAAGTTGTTGCTCGTCTGCCACTCTATCGTCCTCATGTTCTTCATTCGTTGTCTCTAACTCATAGCCATTGTCACTGTGAGTTGACAGGCTATCGGGTTTGTTTGCACGTTGATACTCGCCTCCGTTGTTTCCATCATCCACAGCCTCTACAGCTGAATCTCCTTTCCGGGCATACTCCAAAGAACCCCAAGAAGGCTCAGACGGTGGAGAACAAGGACGGGAAAACATGTTGGATATCTTAGTGGCATGGCTCTCACATACAACATCTGTGTAAGAGTTGTTTGAGCTGTTGCCTTGTTCCAAGACGCGATCGATTCTATAAGTACACAACGGGCAAGGCTGTTTGAGACCAAAGTAATCGGCAAATTTGGTGATCAAGTAACTGAGCAAAGAGTCGAGGAGGAGGAGTGCTATCAAAATCCATTCAAGGACAGCATAGACTAGAATTACAATCAACTTCGGGGTGTTCCTGTGCAACATGGTTGCAAACTTGTTGGCTGCCATGGATGGAGAGAGAGAGAGAGAGAGAGAGAGGGGTTCAAGTTCAGACAGAAAAAAAAGAGCGAGTTGTTGCAAGAGAAGCAGACTAGCTTCCCGGTCAGCTCTAAGTTGGTTAACAGTAAAAATTATGCTTTCTTCTTCATTTTATCAAAAGGGGAGCGGGGATCCGTCTTCAGCGTTGGAAAAAGAAATACGATTAGAAAAAAAAGGTGGCTTATAATGTCAATTAAATACTATAAACTATAAACCCGCGCCCGTAGAAGAAAGTAAAAGTTATCTACACAAGTATTATGTAATTAATTTGTACTTGTTAATTGTTAATCAAATAAATGCATATGCTACTTGGGATTCTTGTTATATTTGGAATTAAAGTGAGAGGCAGGAAATGATGAAACATGGGTTGTCATTTGTCAACAAACACTCAACAGTGGCAGGCATGATAAAAAAGCTAACAAGAAAAAAAGAAAAAGTGGAAGGAAAAGGGGAAGGAATTGGATCAAATTCGGGCGTTTTGGAAGTGATTGGAGAGCCTTTGTATAAATAAAGTTGGTTATATAATATCTTGCTTTTGTTCCTGGGCCTGTGTATGTTTCCTTTAACTTTTTTAAAAGGAGTTGTGCTAGCGCACACTATTTTTTACCTTTCATACGAGACATTTTTCAATATGGTCATCATACGAGATGATACATTACATGTTCTTATATAAATGGTGAGTTGTAAAAATTAAAATTTTCCACCACTTGCATAAAAATACGTGATGTACCATCCGTATTTTCGTCACAACTAAAAATTTCTCCTTTCACACACCTTTCTAAATTTCCGACTATTATAACAATTAAAAAGAAGTGTGTAAGAGGTAAAAATAAATGTATGGATACCTTTCAAAATGTTCATTATTGGGTCTCAAAAACATAACAAATATCAACCAAATGCTTGAAATGTTTAAGGGGGTGATTTTCACACACTCATATTTTGTCCTTGTATATTCCTGATTATATACTTTTGGATTGAATAAATGAAAGATAATTAATGGACAAAAATAAATAGGAGTGTGCAAGAGGACATATGAGGTATGTTGGATTGAGTAAATCAAACGGAGAAAACTGCCAGGTATAAACAAAGATACATACAAGGAATAATAGGGTGTGCGATTATTATTTCTCGAATGTACTATAACAAAAAATAAAACAAAATGAAAAAGAAGTCGAAAAGAAAAAGTTGAGAGTTACCTAACACCCTAATAAATATCTGTTTTTTTTTTTTTTTTTTTTTTGGTAATTTGTTGGCTTTGTAGTACAATAAAATACAAAAGATCAAGAGGTCTAGAGTTCGACTAACACTTGAATCATTGAATTCGTTACCGGAAACATGAAATTACCCCTAATAGATAAAAGTACAAACAACACTTAAGAAACTAGTAGACCCACATGTTATAGTGGGATATGGGTTCTCTTGTCTCTTGAAATAAAACATGTCGAAGGTTTTATTGCAAATGTCCTCCATACTTTTGAACTGGCTAGAGACCTCACAAGTCACAATTCATGTGCAAACCCGCCAACCTGTAGACCATGACGATAGAATCCATGGATTTCCTACCCTTAATTTGTTGTTGTAACCATTTGTAATGGAAATGATTACCCAACTCTTTTTCTCCTTCCACACACTGCTTCTTTCTCTTAATTCATTGATTTCTTCAATCCAAAGGCTAGAAATAAACATATTGTATGGAGAAAAAGAGTGTGCGGACACGTCCCTTGGTGAAAAGTTGAAACCGGGTTTGGCTACCCTGTAAAACTGAACGTTATATAAATTTGTAAACACTCTCTAAACTATAAACCCTAGACAGCAATTTGAACAAAATTAAGTAGTCTAAGAGCATGACCGGATTTGTAGCTAATGAGACGTCCCAAGTTTGAATCCCCCAGCCGTTGTGAATCATTTGACATATATTTCGATAAGATAAGAAAAAGAATCCAGCATTTTATATATGTACAGAATTTAAGCCTCCAAGTGAATACCTACTCTACAGTTGTATGTCCATCTGTATCTGCATTGTCGTCGGATTCTTGGCTTTCATCTTCTTGAATGGCATTTTGGTTCATCGTAAACCTCCAGCTATCTCCTTCCTCAATCTTCCATTGTTTCTTAAGTTCAAAGATTGCTTTAGAGGCTGCGGCAGCAATTGCTGGATTGCTATCTTCTGCGAGTCTCTGCAAGAAAGGCATGAGTTTCTGGCATCACCACGGCAAAGAATGACGATTACAATTATTTAATTTCCAGCAAACCTGTAATGCTCCCATTCCTGCATTACCAAGAGTCCACATAGATGGAGCTGCAGCTAAAGCATTGGCCACTGCTTGCCTATACAACAGAAAACAAACAGGTAAGAGTGGATGATACACAAGTCAAGTAGGAGTTGACAGAAACTAGGGAATCAAAGTTCAAACAGGCTTCCTTGTTGCTGGAATTTGTTATATTACTCGAAAATATATTCAGTAGCACGATTGTTTTAAATTAATGTCAGCGTCGGACTTCTATTTGGCTATCTACTGCCTTCTCATAGGTTAGGGTTATTATGCATTTTACAGTGAAATGGATTGCAAATTCGCAAAATATAAAATGACAAACAAATTCCTAAAAGAAACACAAGTGACAATTTTCTCAGCATTGTTTCCAAAAAGAGAGGCAAAATAATTCCAAGAAGCCTTGTCCATGCACGTCGGTAGAGTAAAGTAAAGCATATTGCATGATTGGCTTTGTACACTTAAATCTTAGTTTCACAACACAACAATACAGACTAAACTGTAAGCTTGTGAGGGAAAATATATGCATTTGTCACGTCGAAGGGGGGTAAGATTGTCCAAGGGGCACTATAAGATAAGTAATGCTTGCATAACTTACCTGGTGTTGACATCAGGAGAACTTGAACACTCCGCCAATAACGATACACTACTTTTACCATCCATTGCATCGAGATCAATTAGAGTCGCAATTAACAGCTCGAGCTACTCCAGATAGAAAAGATAAATTAAATAAGCGACCCTACAAGCAGTCTAACATAGTAAAATTAACTGCTAGATCAGATCATGAACATAAATACATATTTAGATATGGACCTCTTCAGGATCAGTATAATCAATTCCATCAGCTTCAAAGAAGGCAGAAGCCATACTCCAGTAAGCTTCCTGTACACAACCAGTCACATGATTGTAATATCCTGAATCTCAAGAAAGTAGAAAGAAAGAGAACTGGAGAATTCCAGGAAAAGGGGACCTGAATTGCAGTAATGCGATCAGTAGATACTTCTCCAGGAGGGAAATCAAGACTTCTCCCATTCTTTTCAAGCATTATACGCCCCAGTATGTCATTTTCTGATATAACACCATTTTCTCTTTGCAGAGGACTGGATGTTGATGTGAGATATTATGCTCCACAGGTAAATACACAAGTGATAGAAGGGATCAAACAACGAACTTAACAATCACAAAAGAAACTTACAAATTGTACAATTTGTTCACCATCCTGTCATGAATATTTTTGACAAACTGCATATAATATGTAAAAAATTCAGAGAACACAGAGCAACATAACTAGACATGATAAACTAGAAACATATTCTCCCACAAGTATCCTTGATTAGTATCGCAAAACAAAATCAATTTACCTCCAAAGCCATTAGGGCATCTTCCATTGCACATTGTTTCGCACGGAGGTTAGCACGGCGCAAATCAGCCTTCGAGAGTCAACACAGCATCAAGATTCATATTTAGTGCATTATTATCATCATTGCATTTTCCAGACAACTAAAATTGTTTTCCATAAGTAATACTGCACTTTTACAATATATATTTTATATACATACACATAATGTAGAACCGAATTTCAGAAAACTTGAATTGTTTTTTAATTTTACTAGAATACTAGCAATGGTTTTCTGAGCATTGGATGCAGATTCATGTACCCTCTCTTGTTTGTACTCTTGTGCATCAATCAAGCCCTTATTTACATGCATTTCTTTCAACTTTGGCATCTCTTTTATTTTCTTGAATTGTTTCCTGGCTCGCTTATTTCTATTTTACACTCTCGTAGTTTAACTACACACACTAATGGGTATTAGAAGTCAACTATCAAACTATAGCAATCTAGTTTAAAGTCAAATATACCGGCAGGGCACACTGTTTTCACCTTATACGTTGCATATTCATCATTAATAAATATTGTATGAAGCTCTTATAGTTAATTGATGCATATTGAATGATTTCAATTTCTTCTAAGTTTCCTTCAAAATTTCTATGTTTTGAGACATTACATCATGTCAAACAACAGTTATAACAAAAAGAGTTTCTTTCTGTGAAAAACGTACCTCTAAGGCTCCATCACTCCAATGCTTATCAGCAGCAGTTTTCAATCTAGACTCGGCTTTTTCTTTCAAGATCTGCAGAGGATTGTTGGTTATCAAATTAGTAAAAAGATTCAAAGTTTTAGTAAAAAGCTGCCCAAAAATTACAAAAAAAAAACTATTTATATTTAGGCCCTATTTATTTTTCCCAGAAAAACTGGGCTTAAATATTTTTTAAAAAATAGTTCGGGGCTTAAAAATAGAAGACACCAAAAGTAAGTGTTTATTACAAGTGTTGCTTTGTGACTTACTGCTAAATGCCCCCATAAATAACACACATACCATAGCAATATGATGAAGGCGCTCGGCCTTCTTCTTCACATTACGGTCAATTTTCTGAGTATCCTCTCTTGCCCGTGCTACGTAGCAGAAGGTCACGATAACAACATCATAAGTTTCATGAGAAAGATGACTGCATGGTTAGGTAACCAGAAAAAAAGAGAACCAAATAATCCATTCTCCCATTAAATAAACAAAAAGAAATAAGAAGCCAGAAGTTCTAAAAGGAGAAAAATATTCATCCAAGAACGTATACTCATACAAAATCGTTGGTTGAGTGCTCATTCCCCAGAATGAACATTCGAAGGAATGCCTCAAAATGTGGAATCAGCATTCCCCCATTTTATCATGATCAGGTGTCCTTATCTTCTCCTACTCTGCCAGAGCCACTAACTTCCTCATCTAACTTCATCTACATCACCATACCCCCGTTGCAGGTTTATCTCCAGTCAAAAGACTGACCCATGGTCTTCCAATAACAATGATGAATTACTGCATTATGCTATACACGCACGCGTTTACCACAAAATCCTTTTGGAGTATTTTGGGGTTAACGTGTACAATGTACTCAACATCGCATTGCTAATTTCTTCTTGTTTGCAATCAATTGATTTGACCTTGTCTTCCAGGCTAATCTTTATCCAGAAACTTGCTATGGATGACGAAATGTGCATTTCACAAGAATCAGACCTATGGAACTTACTCCTCCTCCTGGGTTTCCACAATTGAATACCTCCTCTCCTATATAATTGAATACATTCTATCCTATCGGACATCTGAACTCAGCATGTTCTTTTTTTTTTTTTTTTTTTTCCTTTTATCTGTTGTTAGTCGTCCTTTGTTTCTCTCCTGTCGCACGGTTCAAACAACTTTAGTCACAGCTTTTCCTAAAGGATATGTTTCAGAAACTTCCCTATACCCCAAAGCAGAATGGTGTGGCTGAGTGCAAAATGTGGAGACCATACAGCTTTTGTTCGTTGTTTCTTGAGAGTATGGCATATGGTCATTCTAACTATTGCATACCTCATTAACCATACTAGGGGAGTCCTAAATGGTACAACTCCACTCAAAGTCCTTCAGCCACGTAGATATCACATTTTTCAGTGGAAATATAACTTCATGATTGGTTCCAACCCATGTTTTACACGACTTTTGGCTTAGATTATATTACTTGTTAAAAAAGAAAAAATTTCTAAATTACTGGAATATGGATTTTGAATTTTTGTAACTATTAATAATTCTATCTGAGAGAAAAGATGAGAATAGGATTTCTTTTATGACTACAGCTAACATATATAAGCCTTAACCAATCATATATATTCTTGATGAATCCCTGATGCAGACCCTAGATTACCAGTTCCAAATAAACAACAGAGTTTGATTCTTTCCTTGATTCCAAATTTCCAATTCCATTCTAGAAACCAAACACCGTATTCATTTCACATTATTTGTTATTCGAATATGAATAAATTCATGTAAGTGTGGATTCAAGGATATATAGAATTTATATAGCTGCCCAAGAAAATCTGAGCACTGAAAAGGTGATAAGAGTTTTACCATCCAGCTTAAGAAACCCCGACCCAAGAATAGCAATGTCTTGACGCACACGGGCATCCAACCTCATTATACCACTGACAAGAAATGGCAAATAATGAGCAATGGGCTCTAAGAATGAACATTTCAGGTCATATAAAATCATGGATGACTATCTTAATACATTGATAATAACTATCACGTGCAGGTAGCCAGTACAATTGTACATTTTTTGCAAACCATGCTCGACCTGACTTTATAATGCGTAAATTACAGAAAAGGCCAAAAAAATGGTCTTGCAAATTTTGCATACAGGTCCTGTGTAATTTGAAGATTGTAAACCTTAATTGTAATTTAACATTGCATGACTTGTTCCTGAGACTAAAGTATAAAGACCAAGTAAGATGGGTTACAATTAATTACTGCAATCTCATCTCAAAATGAAAAGAAGAAAAAAACGAACGTAGATTAGGGAATCTTACCGAGAAAGCAGAATAATGTCATTGCGTGCCCTTTCATTAACAAACTTCGCGTCATTGTAAACAAATTTGCAAGCTTCAGCTAAACCCTGATTGGAGTGAGTGGTTCTCTCAGAAAACACAGGAGGGCCCCCATCTTTGTCATCCCTAATCTGTGAACTAGGATACAAGAGGAGTTCTTTAACAGATGTTGAAAAAGAAAACAATTGGCAGTTTCTTTAAACTTATGCTAAAAATATGCCACATTGATTAAGTACCTCCTTTTCATGAGTGAAGAAACATAAATTATGTAAGAAAGTTAGTGTCACAGGATTTTCTTACCCTCTGGTCCATTTGGTTCTAATATGTAATTTTTCTCACCTTGACACTTAACTGAGGATCTAGATGAAGGGAATATAAATGCACTTGTCCCTAGTTTGAGGGTTGTGAAAAGTACCTAGAGAGCGAATCCCTTCTCCCTATATACATACATTATTGTCCTTGTTCGTTTGATTGCCCTCTTCCTCTTAAGAAATCCTCCTGCTAGTATTTTCTATAATATGGATAACTTATAAAGCATTATATCAATCGGTTGCGTCCCTATGAGTGAGTAGTCCATTCTAGTAGTACTTCTAAGTGCTTATTCCTTTCCTAACTAAGCAAGTAAACTACCTTCATGTATCCCCTTTAGTAGTCTAAGAGCCCTTTCTTTCTTAGTGCTTACGCTAAGGAAAAATTTGATTGATAGAGCTAGATGTGGAGAGACCCTGTTGCTTGTTTACCTAACACAAGTAAACAAGCTAGAAGAAGATAAAACTCATATCTCAATCAACTCAGACGAATGTATTTCTTACTGAGACAAGAGGAAGATGAGGAGATTGAAGGTTTGTAACTCCTTGTCTGCTCATCTACTGCAACTCTTTTCCTTTTGGCTGTCAGATGGAGACATATAAATGGCACTTTGCCTAATTCCTATGTTTAATTGGCATATTTTCCTTTCAAATACAAACCACAAGTTTCATGTAAGGAAACTACCAGGGATAGCGAAAATCCTTCACACATGTACAATTATTTAATAAATTAAGAAGTTCCAATTTACCAGCACAAGTTGACAATCATAAGCCAATTGACAGGTTGATCCCCAATAAAATAAAAAATAAAAAAAACCAAAACAAAGCTAACACTATAAACAATCTGATTTAAGGAATAGCCGACTTGCATTATGCTTTTAGATAAATTAATATTCCCTTTGTCCTCCTATCATTAATTTGCTGCACATACACATAGATCAATATCTACTTTAACAAAGTAAATTCAGTCTCAGAAACATAATAGACCATTTCTACTAGGTTCTTACCTAGTCTCCTTTGCCGAATCACCATAAGTTACAATGCGTTCTTTTTCTTTGGTATTATGATTGCCCCCTGACAGGTTTAAGACAGTAGATCTCTGAGAGGCAGTAAAATTAACTGGTTTACCCAATATACGCTTCAAACCATCATTAGAAAAGCTCATTTTTTCTGAACCGATACGTGCACAATTTAGCTGCCTCTGTTCAACCCCTTGACTTGGATAATGAAGGTTATGTCGTTGCATCGACTTGGAAAACGAATTTAAAACTCCATATGAGTTAGGAATCGTTTTTGAATTAGTCACTGCAGGACAGCCTGAAACCTTGCTTGCATTAAGTGCCATAATATGATCAACACACCAATGAAGTGAAACTAGCCACAATTTCCTTCACAGAAGCTTAAATCTTCATTTACAACAGAAAAATGAATCAAGAAAGTGTTATATTCTCATTTAACATAAAAAAAAACTTATGAGAAAATACTACCACACAATACACAAAATTTTCTACGAGCATCAAATACACGATATTACATATACCATACTAAGTCCCCAACATATGCAGTCTAACATGCAAACGGGCACCATAGTTCTGTTGGGGAAATTTCATAACAAAAATTTCATAACTTTTGGCTAAATATATGATTGGGTTCAGAATCTTCAGCCAACATAATCCTTATAGCCCACCAATAAGGTATTCACTACCTTTCTTTTTTCATAAAGTCTGCCGTCACATTCCAGTCTTTCTTATTAGGCTTCCAAAATCAATGAATTCAACATCTTTAGTTTTCAAACCTCTTTAACTAAGAGTTTGGAGTGATTCTGTTTCATTCCAAAATCGTGAAATGAACATAAAGAATTTTCTCATTTCTTTCCAATTCTTATAAAGGACACTCTAGTCACCTTTTTCCCTACCTTCGCCCATGATCTCTTATTCTATTTAACTGCCCTTGACAGTATTGGCAGTTCCCCCACCCTTGCAAAGCGGAGAGCCTTGTGGCTTGGGGCCGCCCTTTTTTAATGTAGAATGTTGCTGTTGTCAGTGTCACTCGTCTTAATTATATAGTTCAATAATTAATCAAGTGAGATGTTTTGATAGTTTAAAAGCTAAAGTACAGCAAAGGTTTCTATATTCCATTTTTCGTTTACTAATCTTGATCACCTCAACATTTGAGTTCAATTTTTTTTGTAATTACTCAATCATTTTACCACGATCATATCAACAAGCACGCAATAGCTAAATCAAAGCAAACTTCACCATGCATCCATTAGTCACTGAACAAAAAATCGAAAGACAAAGTCCTAAAAATTCAAAGCATAGGGTGAAAACGAAATCTCATTAACCAAATTGAAAATCAAAGAAAACCCATATAAGAATTTGCAGAATAAAGATGTGGAAGCAGCTGGAAGTGAACAAAGCAAGAAACTCACCTCGCGGTAGGAAAGCACTGACTTTCCACAAGAGAAAGAGAGGGAGAGGGAGAGGGAGAGGGAGATCGTAAAGCAGACAAATTTGTAGGCAGTCTACAGTGAAGAATGGCGTGGAAATTGAGAAGAGAAATTGCAACCACAACAACTTCATGTGGCCCCGGAATTGCCACAGCGCAAACATACAAGAACGAAGATTCATGGAGGGCGGGAGCGTTACGTTTTTATCATTTATGCACGTATTGGACCCATTTTGACAAATTTTGAAAAATGGGAAAAGCTCGGCATTGTTTATTTTAATGAAAAATTATATTTTTATACTGAAAAAATCAATCATGATACTATTTATTTTACCTTTTATTTTATCTTTATAATTAAAAATCAAAGCTTTTAAATCATTTTCATTAGTTTTCTTTTGAATTTTAGCCAAATTTTTTAACTTGTTATAATTCTTACAAAAGAACTATGGTAAATAGTCTTCTTTAGTAACACTAATCTCTCCCCTCTTCTTCTCTCCAATCTCACAAGCTTGAGCCGCTACAATTATTGCGATAATCGGACAGCAAGCGCTAGTCCTAGTCCGCCAACAGTCATTTTCTTATCCTTTTTGGGACCATTCCACGGTGCCAAAAACCATTGTGATGTTTATTCATGCAGATAACTCAACTAGCAATACAATTAGATGCGGTTCCGGCCACGGAAGTTGATAATTCAAGGCCGATACTGCACGTTGTACTTTTACTAAGCAAAAAATTTCAATCGTCGTTCATCTTTAACTCAAAATTACGATCAGGGGAGCAAAACATTGATTTGAGTCCTAGGTAAACATTGGCTTAGGATAAGATCATTGCAGGATATGTGTTGGGTTATTTTTTATTTTTGCAGTTTGTGGGTTTAATGTTTAGTGAAAATTTTGAGACTTCTGGTTCTGGATAAGGAAAAGATTGAATTTTTGGGTTATTCTGCTATCTAATTTGGAGATTAGAACATAATTTAAGGGTCTGACTTTTTTCTGGTTCTTTTGGTTGGTTGGATTTTGACTCAGGATTTCATCGCAGAAAGGAAAAAAAACAGTGAATTGATGGGCAGTTAGAGTACCAGAGCGGACCTCTCTTTGGATTCTGGCACTGCAGAATGGTCCCATAAAGGACGAGAAATCGGCTGCTGCCGGTAGGACCAGCGCTTGTTGCCCGACTATAGCAATAATTGTAGCGCCTCAAGCTTGCGAGAAAGGAGAGAGGAAGAGGAGACGGAGAAGTTTAGTATAAATAAAGGTAATCAAGACCTTTCACCTGAGTTTTTTGTTAGAATTGTAAGGGATTAGAATGTTTGATTAAAATTTAATTTAAGATTCTAAAATTGGTTATGAGTTAGTAATAATGTGATTCAACTTCGTTTTTTACGAGAATCGACGAACCTAATACCTTTCTTACCTAGAAGTAAAAAGAAATATCATTAGATTGTAGTAGTAAGTGACATTCTCTAATTTACTTGCATTTACGTTCACAAGTTTATTTATTTATTTAATTTTTCTGTTTTTTGGAGTTTGCTTGAAGTGGACAGATGTTATGGATTGGGCTTCACCACAACTGTACAAACTCTTTGCTAAAAGACAGAAACCCTAATCCATTGTGGATGGATGGATAAATGTAAAACCATTTATTTTGAATAAAACTAATGAAAAAAGTTTAAAAACTTTGAGTTGTAATGATAAGGACAAAATAAAGGGTAAAGTGAATAGTATCAGAATTGATTTTTTAGTATAAAATTGTGGTTTTTCGTTAAAGTGAACAATACCATTAGCTTTTCGTTAAAGTTTCCTTTATTTTGGGCCTTTGGCTTTGGTTCAAAACATTAAATGTGAATCTGTTATGTGTCATTTTCTTCAATTATTTGGTTTATTATATTCCTTTGAAAAAATATTATTTTTAAGAAATGATCGTATCTACACTAAGCGGGCAGAGGAGTGGGCTATACCTTACAATAAGCTTGCATTTGGTAAAAATTGAACCTAAGACCTCTCACTTACAAGTCTACACTTTAAATACGGGAAAAAAAAAGGTATGAATACGTAAAAAAAATGGCATGAAGAAACAACATAGAAGGAGGATTTCTACAATAGAAAGATTAAACAAAGAAACAACAAGCAAAACATTGAGAAATTGATAAGTATCCAACCCTTCTCTTACAAGCCAGTTTTAAGACCAAATACTATCTATAAGCTCAGCTGCAGAGTCAGGATTATATAACAATGAGGTCATAATAAGCGATTCTAAAGTTAATCATATTTGTTGTTCACATAGTAATGTCGTACTAAGAAGAGGAAATAAGAAGAAAAGTTTGACGAAAAAAAAAACAAGAGAGAAAATATTTGTTTATTGGAATCATGTAAACTCAACGTGCCCAGCCTGGCTCTGCTACTGCATGAGCTCTTAATAGTTCACATGTTAATATACAAGTGTTCGATAGAGTTGATATTTCCCACTCTACTATAAGTATGATATCATCCAATCATTCATAACACATGAGGTTTATTTTATTTTATTTTTAACAGACGATATTATTTACACTAAGAGGGAGAGGATAGGCTTAGCCTCACAATGGGTTAACAATAATGTGGTTCAAAATTGCTATTGGAGAGAATCAAACATAAGACCTCTCACTTATAAGTGAAGAGGAATATCACTAGATCGTAGTACTACGTGGTTCACAACACATGAGCTAGTTGTACCACTCTGTGTTATTTCAATATTAGACAATAAATAGGGTAACAATAATCTCAATATTGTAGAATGAACATAAAATCTCCATGGATCTCACAATATGGTGATTGATTCGATGACTTTGATACCAAATTCTTTCAGTTTCGAATCGAAGTTTACAAATCGAATTGAAAGAAAAAAAGGCTACAGAGCAAATGTGGGCTTAACTTTAAGAGCATTAGCTACTATCCTAAAAGAAACTAGGACAGTAGGGCATAAATTAACATTAGGGTCGTCCTAATGTATTAGACTAAAAATATAAACCATAACTGTCACATACCAAAAAATATGGTGACAGGCTTATTAATAATAATAATCTAGGAAACTATATAAAGCCAAGATGTTTCCGATAAAAATATATTTAAATTAAGGGCATTTGGGTCGTCCTTCCTGGGTCTTCCAGTTGTTGTAGCAAGGGCACATTTGCTTGTTGCCAACGACGCCTGGAGGAACACATTTGCATTTGGCACAGCACTTCTCGCAGAAGAACATGCACGGCTTCTTGTGTGATGTCGCCGAGCAACGGTTCTTACATCTCGGTGTGCACGCTGCACGCACGATTAACATCGATTGTCAAGTTCAAGTTCATAAAAAAAAAAACTCGAGAATAAATCCTCCCCTCCTACTCTATGTACACTCTTAAGCAACCTCGAAGTTGATGAACACAGATAGAAAAGAAGAGTCGAAAAAATAGTAAATAAATTGAAGAATTCGGTTTTATAATGTTTACCTGACTGAGGAAGCGTTTTGTAAGCCTGGATATTAATAAAACAAAAAAAGAAACTAAATTAGAAAAAAGAGGAGATTGCATATATATGTAAAGCAAGATCACTATCATGCATATGAATATGATACATCATACACGTAAGTATTGTAGCCAAATAAATTTTTAAAAGTATAAGTTATCAGGATCCGTATCAGATCTTTATTTCGTATGAACAGTTGATTGGCGATGATTTTTTATAGTCAATAGTGACAAAGACATCGAGATTTCGACAATGCAGTATAACGAAAAAGATGGATTGTGAGCACGCACCTCAGCTACGTGAGAGAATGCGAGGAGAAGAAGCAGAGAAACCAGAAGCAAGACGGAGGTGGAGGAACGTCCTGCCATTTTCTGACTCTTGAGAGTGAAGAGGAATGGTTTCTACTTTGTAGTGGAGGATTTGTGGGGTTATTTATAGGATATAATATTAGGATTAGTGGAATAAAACACGTAGTTTAAGGGCGTGGAATTGGGGGATTAGGGAACCGATGCCTCATAAGTCCATGTGGGATTGTTCTGCATGCGCTGAAGGCGCCGTGTTTAGTGTTTGGCTTTAGTTTCGGGCTTTTGCTTTTTTTGTCAACTTTAACACCATGTTATCGTCTTTTTTTTTCACTTTTTTCTAACAGATCCAATCTTCATTCCCTACCTTTTCTGTCTTTCTTTTTTGTTAGTAATATTTTAGACCAACTACTTTTCTTTCAAGACCACCTTCTTTTTAGTTTTATTTCTTCACAACGATATCAACGGTGAAAACTAAGTGTTGAGTTAAGTCACACAACAAGTCATTAGTAATTTGAATTGAACTTTCTATTCATAATTGTTGTTAAACTTAAAATTTTATACTTACAAATGAATAAGAATAACACTTCAATATAACAAATATAGGACTTCAAGAACACAAAGAACATTTTTAATCACAAAACTTCTAAGGTATTCGAAAGTATAGGTGGCTTTTCAACCGCAAATCTTGATTTTTATGTTTGGCCAAAAGTCTAACAGATAAAAAAATTTGAAATATCTAATACCTCAAAACACAATTCAAAAAATTCCGTTCTAACCACTTTAGTTATAAGAACATGGGAATTTGTGTCTAGAGAGCTTAGTTAAATAGTTCACCCTAGAATTATAGTAATATATGCAATGCAGCCTCCTATGTTATCCCACTTGAATATTTTGTTGATACTTTTTTAAACGTTTCGATGCGATGTTGTCTCTCATCTGAATTGTGAAGTGTGTCAATAATTGTGATGTGGTCCTTTTGATGTTGCATGTGAAAGATCGTGCAAATTGCAACATATAAACAGTTTGCTTTGCTCTCATCTATTGCAACTCACTCCACCGACTTAAATAATGGGATGTGAAGTCCAATTTTTTTTTTTTTTTTTTTTTTTTACTTCTCATACATATTTTTAATTTTCGACTATTGGATCGGATGAAATTAAAAAGAACGGATATAAATTAACAAAAGATATATAAAAAGTAAAAAAAAAAAAAAAAAAAAGTGTAAATAGCACATCCCTAAATAATAACCCCATTTAGGTATATGCTTTGTTAATTTACCACCACGAGATCCCCTGTGAGTTGTGAATCATAGCACCCAATATGGAAGCATTATTATAAGTCAATTAGTAGTTACATCATTATCTTTAATCGTGGGTGATGCAAGAGGCCTTCAATTTGTATGTTTTTTTTTTTTTTTTTTTTTTGTATTTTAATAGAATAAACTGGTTTTAAGCTCGTCATTAAAAAAATTTAAGTTTAAAACTTCTAACTCATAAGTAAAGAAAAATATTATTAAACTGTAGTAATGCGTCTTGATCTTAACTAGACTAATAAAAAACTCTTCTTGGTATCATTATTTTTTAGCCATGTGAAGAAAGTTGAGGTTCCACCATAAAATCAAGTGACAATATAGAGAGTAACTCAACTTACGTAGTTTTGTAAGCACATGCAAGGTTCATTCTCCTATCAATGTGGGATTCATTCCCACGCTCCCTCACGTGTGATGATTTTTCAAGCCTAATGTCTGTACATTCAAACGGAGTGACGTGGAGCGCGTGTGACCGTTGGGCTTCACACGTGGGCCAACATGCTCTGTTAATATGAAAAAAGTTGATGTCCCACGATAAAACAATTGGCAATTATAAACATATGTAATGCTTCTCCTCCTATTAATGTGAAATTCATTTTAACACTGTGAATACAAATTTTTAGTAAATTTTCACTCTAGAAAGTGGAATCTAAATGACTTCGCGGTGTGAGCTTTAGATTTTGAAAGTTGTGTGTACAAATGTGCAATTGACCATTAGAATAAAAAATGCTTCTAAAATATATTTTTTTTAATGAAAAAATGCTTCTAAAATATGGTAATGAAAATTTCGATGCTTAACTGAGTTGTTTAAGTGATAAAAGGATAATATCCATGAAAATAACAGCACGATTTTTCGTGGCAAGTATAGGAGGTGTCATCTTTAGGCCTTGACAGATAATGCTAAAGCTAAGTTAAAGGCTGAAAAGGAAAACTTCTAAAGAGTTCAACTTATTCGATCAATTTTCCAAAGTATAGTTTGCATAGTTTCTCTGTTTATCAATGCCTTCTTCCTTGTTGAGGTCTCTTTGGCAATGCTCGCAATTTTATATGGTCCGGTGATGTGACTTCAAAGAAAATTGTCACAGTTTCTTGGTCTTAGATTTGTGCACTAAAAAATGAGGGTGGTTTAGGATTACTTGATCTTTGCTCTTTAAATACTACGGCTCTTTTAAAGCTTGGATGAGTTGTTATTACTTTTGATTCTCTATTGAGTGTTTATTTTAGAGGGTGATTTCAATTACATGGTCGTTTATACTATACTTGTCACAAACGATCTTTTATATGGTCTGGTTTTAAATCTGTTATCCCTATCTTGTTTCAGAACCGTTGTTGGGTGATTGGGAATGGTTCTAGTGCTTCTCTTTGGGTTGATAAGAGGTTGGATACACCTATTGTAGAGGTCGTTGGTGCTACTGAGTTTGCTTCTTCTTTATCTCACACTAAGATCTTAGACATTATTCGTGGAGGAAAATGGATTATTCCTTCCTTTTTCTGTTACGTTTCCATAGTTGGCTAAAGATATTTTAGAGGTGCCTCTTCCAATTGATTAGGAAAATGATAAGTTAATTTGGGAAGCTTCTGCATCTGGAGTATTTTTGTTTTTTGATGGCTATGAAATTGTTCGTCGTCTGTTTCCTGTTAAAAGTTGGGCTTCCATTATCTAGCATTCTTTTATTCTACATCGTTGCTCCATTTTAGTTTGGAGATACTTTTCAATCAGTTCCCAATAGAGGATCAACTTCAAAGACGAGGCATTCCTTTGGTTCCAATATGTCAACTATGCTACAAATTCTGAGTCTATTGAGCACTTATTTTCGGGTTGTGAACTTGCACAACGTGCTTGGTTTTGGCTTGCTACGCAATTTGGAACTATTCTTCCGCTTACAGGCTCATTCTTGGATTTATGACTTGATTTTGTGTCAAAAAGATTTTCTCTACAACTTCGCAATGTCTAGCTAGCATCATGATTTTTCTTAATAATGACTGTTTGGAAGATGCGTAATAAAGTTAAGTTTGAAAGAATGCCTCCTTCTTGTCCACGCATTTGTCGCTCTACTTTGTCCTGGATTAGGCAGATTGGAGTTTTCACTCCAAGTCATGTATGTGGTATTTTGGATAAGCAGTTTTTAGTATCTCTTGGAATCTCAGCTGAGTCTTGTAAAACTTATTCTATAGTTCCTGTTTTTTGGCGTCCCCCATTTCCATGGATCAAAGTGAATACGGATGGCCTTGCTAAAGGTAACCTAAGTCCTACTGCTTGTGGTGGGGTTTTTCGAGATTATGCAGGTTGTTTTCTTGGTGGTTTCTCCTTGAGTTTAGGGCATCATACTTCTTTCTATGCGGAGCTTCATACTGTCATCCTTGTTGTGGAGTTGGCTCTTGCATGGGGTTGACAAAATTTATGGGTTGAAAGTGACTTTTCTATTGTAATATCTTGCTTTGCTTCTGGATTTTTTCTCCTCATTGGTTACTCCGAACTCGTTGGACAAACTGTATTTCCTGATTGCAGCATGTGGGTTTCCATTGCTCTCATACATTCAAGAAGGGAATGCCTGCTTTCATACATTTCGAGAAGAGAATGTCATCGCTGAAAAAATCAATAATTAATTGCTAAAAAAATCAAACCGATGCGAACGAAAAACTCGAAATGAACTACAGAAAAAAAGAAAAGAAAAAGGAAAGACTTAAAATAACGATAAGTTTGAACTTATGTGTTTGATGTTTGTACATGTCCTTCGCTCACAAACTTCTTTGGTCTTGATTGCTTGATTTTCTTTTTCACTTTTGTTACAATTGTAATTGTAAAGGAGCACGTATCTGGGATAAAACACATAATAGGCTAGTTATAATAATTTAGTTACAAACTTGTCATCCAGAAGAGTTGAATCTAAAAACTTTCACTTACAAGGTGACGAGGGATACCACTAAATCGGTCTCCCTTGAATACTTGAGAAAGAACATGTTGCAACATAATAACATATGTTTTTTCATTAGTTGTTCTCTAATCTTGTGCAAGTCCAGCCTCCAACTAAAATAGTAACCGTAATTGGTAAGCCTTGTTAATTAAAGAAGAGTAATGCTACATTACCATGGTTATCTACTCATTTCGAACTCATAAGAGGCTAGTTGAGAATTGCGACAATTGCACCTTACTCGTGAACACAAACAAACAGATTCACAACTTATAGCATATAAAGTATCGAACCCACGACATCTCTTTTTTTTTTTTTTTTTTTTTTTTCTAAGAGAGCTATTGTTTACACTTTTTCACTTAGCCACGTGTCATGATTTGCTTTATTTATTTTTTTATATATAACAATATTTCACTAACACGGCGTGTAAGATGTACAAGTGAGTGTAAGTGTATGAATAACACTATCTTTGACAAAACCTTTTGCATAGTCATTGATTGCACCAGAAGCTAGAAAAGACTCCCACCATATCCACTTCAATTCCTAGCCTATTCGAGATATGGTCCAATCCGATCCCGGCCACCAAACGAGGCCTTAAGGATTCCCCATCTCTTATTTCAAACATACTAATATGATAACAGAAAGTAAAATGGTAAGGCTCAAATCTGAACACAATGAGAAGAAGTGCACATTCTTTCAAGCACTTATTCCGCCATTCATTCCCATCTTCTTATGCCCATTTTGCATGTGCATTTTTCAACACACTATTATTCTATGACACAACAAATAAATAAAGAAAACCCGAAACACACACGCCTCCATAACGTTTTAGTCCATTTGAAAGGAAAAACAACTCACTCAACTCAACAGACTGACGCTGAAAACCAGATACGGCTAACAACCTGAGAAACCGCAACACAGACTTGGTTACGCTGCTGCTTACACTCTTCCAATTCCACTGAGACCTGCTGCAAGTCCGTCGAAGACTCAACTCATCCTCCTCTGCCTATACTTTTATGGGCCACCTATCTTAGCTGACCTACGCCAGACTTAATTAAACCCGGTATGCTGTAAGTACTAAGTACTGGTGAGTTCCTCCATTTAGAGAGTTGGCTGCAAGTTTCTTGAGGTCCTCGAGTTGTATGTTTTGGGACACGACCGCAGCACCCACAGCCAGGGCAACAGAAACAAGCACCACGCTCTTCATGCATCCATGGCCTTGCGACAATCGTCCCAACATCTGCTTGCAATATTTGTCTGCATCCTTCAACAGTGAATGGCGGGCAACATCATCTCCCCCTGCCAATGCCTTATCATTCTACACCCAAAACAGAAAATAAGTTCATAAGACCGGGTTCAGGGTAACATGGATTAATATAAGGCAAATGAATAATAAGACTGGGTTCATCACTTCAAAATATTAGTGGTCTCGGCAGATTTATGTCATTTAGATAGCTGAATATAGTTACCTTCTCCCTTAAACTCTTTAAAGTTTCCCTCAAGGGGTCAAGAGAAGCATGTTTAACAGAGTTCTCCTTCCACTCGTCAGATAGCTTTTTCAGGAGAGCAACGCTTGCATCGAGATTGTCCAGATAAAGTACGTCCTGTTCCAAATATTCACAGCGAAGCAGCAAATTGATGATATTTAAATCTTTGTGCAATGCCTTAAATGAAAAAATAAAGAAGTAAAAGAACAATGATCAAAATTCATACCCATTGCCTGTAACATTCAGGGTTTTGCGTCAAACACCAAATAAATAAGCCACTTGCTTCCTTAGACAGATCAGGGATGCCTGCAAAGTGCCCTATACATCAAGCTCCGAAAGAGAATTTCGAAGGGGAAATACTTTTAAAGGAAAATAAGTTTTTTTTGTTCTTTGCTTTACCTTCATTAACAGCTTTAACTGAATTCTTTAATATCTGCTGTGTGACTTGCCTCATTGTTTTGCTTCCTGGGGAACCAGCAAGGGCAATCTCTTTCAAGGTTGGATAAACAGCTTCAAACCTCTCAGTTGCCTTAGCAAAACCAAAATTTTCCACATATTATTTATTTGGTTGAGGGGGGTAAGACAGGGTGGGGTTCCTGTTAAATGGAAAATTTTGCAATTATGCAAAGGCTCCTTGAAGAGTCGCACCTTAACTCGGGCAGAAGGTGCTGGAAAAGAGACTCTCATCAAGAGATCAAGGGCTGATGGTGGCACTATGTGCTCCCCCTTTCTGACAGCACCGTTCAACAGAATTGGACGGGCTTTCGGAAAAGCCAAAATTCTGACATCACGCATAAAAGAAGAACAGAAAAAAACAGAATTAGGCATAGAAGACAGGTCTCTGTGACAAGGAAGCCAGACATGTACACATGTAAGGTGAAGAAAGTAGAACTCATGTTAATCTAAATGGCGTCATACCTTTCCACAGACTGCAAAATTAAGTCTCTACACAGAGGATTACTACTTGACTTGCTACTCAATATAGGCAAGAGAAAATGCACCCACGAGTACAACCCCACAACCAGATCTCCTTGAGAAGCCTGCATATCCATAACTTAGAAAAGTGAACCATGATTTTAGGAACTTTAAACACAATGCATTACCTGTGCAACCAGCCAAACTGTGATTGGAAGCTTATCTTGGCCTTCATATTTCAGACTTCCCCTCATCACAGGAAGTAAGCTAATCAGTACTTCAGGTCTTCGTCGCAATACCATTGCTAGAACCACGAATATGGCAACCTGCAGCTCCAAGGTTACAGCTAATAACTCACTTGGTTTAAGCACATATAATCTATACTGTTAATGGTAAGAAGAACATTAACCAATTGAATGGCAGAACAAAGAAAAGGCAAGGATGCAGAAAGGTTTGTTAATTTAGAAGTTATTTAATTGTTAATTTAGCAATAGTTTTGAACTTGAACCCCATATTCCGATGCTATTTTAAAAGCAATAGTTATTTAATTGTCTTACTATTGCTGTTTAAAGCTTAGGGATGCCGAATCTAATTTTAGATGAAAGAAACATTCCCACAAACAAAATGCTGAATTAGCCATCCCCAAGGATAATGAACCTCAAAATGAGTAAAAAAATCCACATTTTGAGCATTTCCAGGATGGTAGAGTAGGAAAACATCTAGTCAATCTTGGCATCGGATCACATATGCAACAAAGTTGGATAAGCTATGGAACTGTTATTATATGATATCTAAAAGTTCAATAATGCTAGCACACAGAAGCATCCTCTAGAAAGCAGCCGCTGAAGAAGGAACTTATTTGAAAAGAAAGGAAAAAATGTGACGAAAGCAAAGACAAACTATAATTACAGATAATAGCAGTGGATTCAAACAAAATCATTTCAAGAAACAAGGGGTTAGTACAGAGCAGCATGATGAATACAATTATGTAAAATTCTACAAAATATATACTTGACATGATATTCTGGTAAAGTTTTACATATGTAGACGCAGTATTGGTCTCAAATATATGGATTGAAAACTTTAGGACAAATTTGCTCCTACAGTTCTCAACTCAAAAGCATGGCCACGACCCACGAACACTGTTTTTTCTCATATTTTTACACCAATTTCGCAAGATGATGCAGCATTATTAGTTAGTTTATCTACCTTCTACAATTTGTCACAAACCAAGGCAGGCAGAAACAAGTTCAACACCACCAGACACTTTAAACAGGGAATCCGATGCATGCAACAACTGAAAGTTACCTGAGACTTTGAAGGTGCTTGCTGGACCGCCTTTTTAGATCGCTTGGCTAGTCCTTGATGACTTGCAAGGTCAGCAAGAATGCTGTCCAACGACCATAGCACGAATGATCCAAGCGCTTCAGTAGAGCGCTGGCCGATCCATTCAACCGATATCTTGTAAACATCTTCAGATATATGCGAAAGAGGGATCTGCTTGACAATTAACATAATCATAAGATATTAGGAGACCCTTTGAAACATATATATAAATTCCACAACTCGAAAACACAATGACGAAAAAAGGGCTTTCCGAAACGCACACATTCTATCGAAAACCCGCATGCATGTACAATTCAGTACACAGAATATGCAGTAAACACGACGAAATGATCAAAAGCCCTTTTCTTTTCCTACAAGTCCTCCAAAGTTTGATGCCTTGATTTTTTTTTTTTTTTTTGGTGTGATTATTTTAAGAAAAATATTCAAAGTCGAATGCAGAGAAACACGTGTAAGTAAAAACTCACATCAACCAGTTTTGCCACAGAAGATTCCTTGAACGTCTTCAACCACGGAAATTGTGCCGGACTGACCGCCGCAAATGCTCGGCCGAAGTAATCCGCCAAACGCATAAGCTGTATGTCCTGCTGCGTTTCATACGAAGCCTATCCAATCCAACACCCATAACCAAACGTCAGAAAACAGAACTGAACTCCCAAATTTACAGAATTTGACAACAAACATAAGCGATTAGCATCTCTCACAGTTATATCTGCCAGAAAGGCGCCGAGATCACCGGCGTCCATTTTCGACGCCGCCTCCGCCACCGTCACCTTCGGCTTCTTCTGCTTCACCTTTTTCACCTTCTTCACCTCGCCGTTCTCGACGGCCGCCTCGGCCACCTCAGCATCGCTATTATTCTCATCGTCATCTGAATTCCGCTTCGATCCGCCAGGTGCGGTGTCTCCGGAAACGGCTGCGGACTGGGCCTCCATAACTCTCCGACGGCGCTCCTCGGAATGCAGCTCGATAGGCCGGAACACGTCGGAGGCGGAGGATACGACACCGTTGTGGAGACCGCCGTTGGAATCCGCCGGAATCGCCTTGGAGGAGGATTTCCGGTTTCGCTTCGGATACGATACCGTTTGCCAGGCGTAAGCGTCGCCGTTTTGGGTCAGCTTATTGCCGTATCTCTGTGCCTCCTCCTCCTCTTGCTCTCTGAGAATTGCTTCGATTAGTGCCGATGAATTCTCGTCCATGCTTTGCTTCAGTTTCTCTTTCTCTCTCTCTAGATTTTTGCTTCCTTCTTGAGTGACAGAGAGAGAGAGTGACGAAGTAATGTCGAGTTCGGAGGGAGGAAGTCGGGGGGCTTTGAAGGAGAGAGGACAAGAAAGGGACTCTGCGTCAAAGGACACGTGGGTTATTTTTATTTATTGTGATGACGGGTTTGTCCTTATTTACTCGCCATTTAACGTAAATGCCATTTTTGCAATTCGGATACAATGCAGCATCAATTGATCTTATCTCCTACAATAAAAAGATACTACCCAGTGTGTTTGAAATGTTTGTTACACAAAATATCATAATATAATACGTTGTAATTTTATTTTTAAATTTTTAACTAATCATATTATAACTTTAAATGTACCGAGTCGTGTTTCTAACATACCAAAAAATCTCACCAAATTATAGAATATCGACCAGATAAAGAGTGAAAATCAAAAACCTCCAATTTAAAACAAACAAATGTCGACAATTTATCAACATTAAATTTAGTTACTATCTTGATAATTCGACCAAAAAAAAAACTTACTTTCTTGATAAATAAGAAATAAGAATTATGTGTACGGTAGGCTTATCTTGTTTAAAGTAAATAATTAAAAGGCTTTTATTCTTACATTTTATTATGTCAAACGTTATTACACGTATTATCTATATAGTAATAGACGAACAATACAACAATAACTTAAAGCTCATTTAGAAGTACTTTTACAATAACTGAAAACACTGTTTAGTACCAAAAAAAAAAGAAAAATTAACATAGTGGTGACCAGCTTGATATCATGATGGACCAAATATAGAGCTCTCCCTTAAGTCCCCTACGGACCTTAACATCTCAACTAATACTTACTACAATCAATGTGATAACGTGATGCATTTTTCAAACTAGTAAGTGGAAAAACAATGTCCAATTTTAAAAATAGCAATATTTTTGTGATATTTCTAGGTCTACGGCATGAATTAATTCACTAACTTGTGATTTTAGTGGCATAGGCATCTCCAGTCAAGAACTATATGCCATATTTAATTCTAAATGGACAATATAGGTCTTCAATAAAAGAACCAAAGGAAATTGTCTATAGGAATCAGGCCAAACTTAGCCGCAAGGCAGGCTAGATATATCCAACCCGCTAGCCCTAGGGCCAAAATTTTTGTAGGCCCCACTACTCGAAGCCCAGTGAAAAGAGCACGCTGCTACAGCTGCAACACAAGAGGCGCTATGGACCAACATTGTTGCACGGGTGGAATGTGAAGGAAAAATTTAGTCCATTTAAGATCATTTGAGTATAACATGCAAGGGTAACAACAATTAGAGGCGGAGGCTAGACTACATGAATTCGAAAACCAATCTTGACCCACGAATTTTAAAGTCTAGTGATAGGTGAACCAAACTAACACAACTTGAGATAGTAAAGGAAAGGATGGAGGTTTATACCTTTGTAAACCAATCTTTGATTTCACAAAGTTGTCACTTAAGAGCGCCTTAAATTCTTATTCTTTCTAACTTTTTTGCTCTTTGTATGTGTGTTAAATAGGAATTCCAAGTTCCAAAAGGATCGAACCTTCTAACCCTCAACACCAAAAAGAGATGTGAAGAGGAGATGGATGATCTAAAAGTAATTTAGTGCTAAGTTTAGCTCTCCATAACTGGATTCCTAGTGCCACCCACAAAGCAATAAGTACCAAATTATGAATGGAACTAGAACTAGTGAAATACCAGCCATTTTGATGATGGCAACTTCGTAATTAAAGTAAAACATTAGGGGTAGAACAAGAAACTCCACCAGATCCCATATGAACGAAGGATATCGTTTTCTATTGTGGGATTGTGGGGACCCACACCACTCTGCCGAGGAGCAACTTTTGGACCTGGCTTCCCTGCTCTCTTAATTTCTGTACACTCACATCCCTTTTTATTTATGCGGTCACGGATTAAGTCATATCAATATTTTATATCACTATGTTTTTTATTTTATTATCTTTATAAAAAAAAGCAATATAAAATATTAACGTGGTTTAACTGTGATCGCACAAAATAAAAATAAGAGAGGATGAAAGTGTATGAAACTAGAAGGGTAGAGAAACAAGATCCGCAACTTTTTGACATAAGCAGTTACGCTAATTGCCAATCGCTCTACCAAATCCCCAACAACATCCGTCGTCATCTTCCCCTCCTCCTCCCTGCAAAAATTAACATGTTGTGGTTACACATTTCTCGTGACATTTTACGTGTCAATAATAATATGTGAGGTTTTTTCTATAATACAATATAATCGTTATGAGGCGTTATAACAACAGTATATTTGTATCATGTATTTTGTAATAGAAAACAATTGAATATGCGAGATTGGTGATCAATGATTCTAAATTAGATGGTTGAGAAGCAAAAATTTAACTAAAAATTAGAGTATGCATAACATACGATCAAATAAACCATGAAACTATGTAAATTATGTTACTAACTGGAAAAACAAATAAACAAAATTGTCAAAACAACTACAACTTGAGACAATATTTTGATTGACTTTTTCATATACCTCATAAAACCTAATATGTAAAATACTAAAATTACCCGAACAATAGAATAAAACTAAATACTAAATATTTTTGAACAGGATGGATATCAACATTTCAACTTGATGCATGCTTTGCTAAAGAAAGAAAAGGTGTGGGAAAAGCAAAGACCTTTTCCTTCTCCTTCTCTTCCTTTGCATGTTCTGAAAAGTTTGTCAAGTGCCTTGGCAGTTACAGCTTTTTCAAAGTTTGATTTGGATTGGATTGGGTTGGATTCCAATCCAGTATTGGTCTGGCCCGTCTGGGTGGCGTCTGCGAGGAAAGAGACTATTTTCGGGACACATGTAAAATATGCAGTTTGAAGGTTTGTGCATGCCAAACAAGTAGCAGCACTAATGCACTAAAGTCCATGAACCATTTCATTTTTCCTCAAGTGGGAAATACACTTTTGGGTGAATTACATTTTGCTCCTTTATAAGTTTGGTTCACATAATAAACTCCTTTTATTTTTACTTTATTTTTTGAGTTTTGTAACGTCATACATCAATTTACAAATTCATTGCAATATCATAGATCCGTTAATTTGACCGTTAAATGATAATGTGTCAACTGTGAGTCCTACATTTTTACTGATATAATGTTAAATTTGTGCCACATGGACGAACAACCAATTAACATTGGGTAAAATTGGAAAGATCCTCTCCAGATCTTTCCCTCCAAAGCCCAAGGATCAAGTGATCCGGATCTTTAAAATTTAATTCAACAGCTAAAAACAGAAAAGTTAGTTAAAACTTTTAAAAGCTATAATAATTTTTGACCGTTGGATCAAATTTTAAAGGCCCAGATCACTTAATCCTTGGGCTTTGGAGGGAAAGATCTGAAGAGGATCTCTTTCTGGTCAAATTATGATTCTAGGCTAGACGGAGGGTCGTCAAATTCTGGGCTCTGTGGGTTGATGCTTTAGAATCTTTTGGATAGTGCTATTCACACAATTATTTTTACCTTACACACACCCTTGTCAATTTATGGTCATTGTTCATTTCCAATTTATTTGATCCAACGGCCGAAAATTGAAATGATGTAAGAAGTAAAAATAAATGTGTGCTACAGATATTTTTTGAATTTAATGGCACAAAGAACTTCCGAAATAACAGCGCCGGTGGAGAAAGAAAATGGATGTCAAAATAAGGAACATACGCCCATGGTGAATTGAATTTTCGGTCTCCATGTTTGACATTAATCAAACAATTAGGACAAAGACTCACTATATCAGCAAGCTAACAATTTTGGATCACACAAAGTTTCCCCTAGTCAGGGCTACCTCTTCTTACAAGATAATCAGTCTCTCGAAAATAACCTTGATAAACCACGCCTACGACCTCTGGCTTTGATCGGCCTACCTGGTAGTGACAATGTATTTGAAATGACATCAGAAAATAACTCAAGGGGTAGTATTCAAATTTCGCATTGAAATAAGAGCAATTTCAAGAACATGCTTTGTCATGACGGAGTTAGCGCAAGAGTGCGCGCGCGCGTGCGTGTGTGTATTAATGTACTACATAATATATGAGCCCCCTATTTCCATAGCTAAGGAGTTTAGAAACACCACCTTTTAATCTCCCAGCACGGAACAAAGCTTCTTCTGCAATGGGTTTCCATTGTTCTGCACATGAGTAGTTGATTCCTAAACCAACACTAAGTCCTCTCAGCAGGTGCACTGTCCGAAGTACAGAAAACAACTCCTCTGGAAAAGCCTACAAGAGCCAGGGACAGTAGACGAAACAGTATGTAACAATCACGAGTGGATAGCCACCAATATAATGAAATGATGTGAAAATAAGTCGTCAATAAAATTTTGGAATTCGTCCTACCTGAACTGCAATTTTTTTAATTGAAGATTCCTCGGAAAAAGGCTGCAGCATTGTCACTCCGGGGGGTAATTTGGTGTCAAACATTGTCTGTGCCAACTTTAACAATTCATGCTGTTCATTTTCACATTTGCTTAAGGTTTCTATGCCAAGTTCCCTGTAAAGAGAAATAAATTAGTACAATGTGCACACAATATCAACCCTGAAAGCATGTCATCAAAACTCTGAGATTGTGATCGAAAAATGAAAAATTGTCATATTTTGAATTAGGCCCATATTTCTTATATCCAAGTTGAGCACAACAATGACACTCCATTCTATTCAATCTCAGTTACTGATACAGCATTTAATGATCTAATTCACCTATTTTCTCTATTGCGATTTTGTCTCCATGAGCCTCACACTCACGTGCATTTGCACACAGTTTGCAGGTCATGTCTCAGCCTTAGTTTCTTTTGCCTTAATAGCTTAGTTTAAACTAAGGCGGTATCAGTGAAGTAATTACCTGTAGCTCTCTGATGCTCTAATAGGGTCACCGTCAGCAATGGCAAGAACAAGGTTAGCATAACCAAGTCTCAACTCATCCGGTAGATCTTTCACTTGGCCATAATCCAACAAGGCAACCTAACTTGGAAGAATTATGCAAATTCTAAGTCAGCTTACTAATTTACTATTCAAATTAAAGGAA